TTTAAAATGTTCTCAATTTATTAAAGAGGTGTTTGGTGTGAATTAAAATTAAATTTTTAGTGGATTGTGATAGAAGTTTTTGAAATATGTGGTTGAAAAGATGTGGTTAATATTGATTATTTGACATTGACTTAGATTAAAATCAGATTTTAATCCGACTCAAACAGGCCCTAAATAGTGGTATATTAATTAAAAATTACCTATCCACCTGTGAGACTTTAACTTGTTGTACAACGCTCACACTGGTCAGAAAAGAACCAATTTGTAATTATTTTTCGGCATTGTGACAAAAGGTAGTGGGTAAGTTTGGAATCTTACAAATTTGTATTAAAAAAGGTCAATTATTCCACATTGTGGCTCACTGATAAAATTGTACATAATCACACAATGACCACTTTCATTGTACAAAAAATAGTTTCCAAGGAAAAAGGATGTCAAACAGGCTTAAATCAAAGTTAACAATTAATAATTATACGTCTTTTTCAACAACATAAATTTTATAAAATATGTTATTGAAATATTATGAGACCCATAAAATATGTAATTTAAATTAATTATTAACTTTAACTTAGATTAAAATTTTGGTAACAAATTTGTAGAGATTAAAATCAGATTTTTAGTAAATTTTGATAAAAATTAATGAAATGTGAGGTTGAAAAGTTGTAAAATCCATGAAATGAATGGTTCAAATTAATTGTTGACTTTAACTTAAAATTTTAGTTCAAATCACAGCGGCTAAATTTGAAGCTCAAATTTATTTTCCACTTTCTCCCCGTCCCATCACAGTAGTGGGCGGGGATTCTGCAGAGGGAGAGTGACGAATTTGATTTCGAGGGGATTCGGGAAGGGAGAAGACGATTGTACTCGTTATTAGGGTGTTTTGCACCATTTTTCCTCAACTTTTGAGTAAAATAGCAATCTACCCTTAATCTTTTTATCACAAAATGGTCCCCAACTTTTCATTGATTAGCATAATTCGTCCCTCTTAATGGTTTTGAACCAAAATTATGTGTCACAGCTGTAATTGCAATTCAGGGGCTATTGTTGATATCTATATGAAGAAGATATCATGTAATAAAGGATATTCTTATTTGTCCAAATAGTACACTTTTTTACGGTCCCATGTTATACCATGTAGCGACATAAGGACGAAAAAAGGGAAGAGAGGGATGAGGTTTCTCTCGCTTTTGGTACAGCAGCCCCGAGTGGGATGTCGCATGTACGTCTATGGAGATTTCCATTTTATTGTTATGAATATTTGTTAAGATTTATTTGCTATGTAATTTATGAAAATTTAATGTAGTTTGGGCCGTTATTTGACTTGCATCTCGTCAAAGATATATGTCACCACTGGAGTGTTAAATTATATTGTTGAACAACATTGTAGGACTATGATCATACAAGCAAAGTTAGAAAAGAAACAATACCAACGTAGAAAACTACGAAAAAAGGTTTTTTATAGTAGATTTTATCACGACTGCGCTTACACGGTAATAATATAAAGAAATGTTCATTGAATTAGCTCGACTCTATGATAGATTATGGTAATAACATTCACGCGCACTTGCAAATTACAAATTCATGTATTTGTTTTTATAACCGTAGGTGTTCGAACTAACTTGCGCGCACCTGACTAATCACAAGAGACCCTAAGGTTTACGACCGAGTACTCACTTCGATGATCTTGAGGGGACTCGAACTAGTGATCACTGTGGAGCAAACTCAATGTCTGACCAATTGAGCAACCCTCCAATATTACAAATTCATGTATTTCCAAATTGAAAAATAACTTTTAAGAAACTAATTCATGGTTGATTTGCCACATCATGTCTATAAATTCGTGATATAAAATGTTAAGCTCCTTATTTGAGTCACATTAAAATTTTCATTTTTCTACTCATTTTCAACCACACATTTTTCAATAAAATAATATTTTCCGTCACATCAATAACTTTTCCGTCATTTTCAATCACAAATTCTCCATCAATCTACTATTCTAAAATACATTATTCTAAAATAATGTGACTGAAAGAATACGTTTCAATTTTTCCCAGTTGCTGCATATTTTTTATGTTTTATTCTTTCTATAAATAAAGGAAATAAAAGATTCTATTTTAAAAGCCAAGAATGAAAGGCTAGATTCAATGCTCATCTCTTGATTAATTACCTCATGATATTCCACAACAAATATATATACATACAGTTATATTAATTAATTTCAATTATCATTTAATTTCCTCTGAAATGCTAGTAGCATCATCAATGGAGGAAGAGCATGACATGTCGACTCTGAGAGAACGGCGGAGGAAGCCCCCCATAGGCCTTTCCTGTTGCTTCCAGGGAAACCACCACTTTTTCAATGATTGCGCTTCCTCGTCACCTCCGAAGAAATCTACTTCAGCATGGATTCGAACCAAGGCTATGATTTCCCAGAAATCTAACACAAACGCAAATTTCATAGCACGCATGGGGCAACACAGCCACCATGCTTCTGCAGATTTTAGCTACAATCCTCTGAGTGACCCCCTCAACTAGGGGTGGGCGCGGGTCGGTTCGATTCGATTTTTTTCGGTTCCAGAAATTTTCGGGTATTTAATAAATGGAACCGTCGGTTCCAAATATAATTTTGGAACTGTTTGGGTTCGGTTCGGTTCAATTCGGTTCCG